CGAAGTAGTATTAGTAGAGTAGTAGTACAGAGTAGTAGTAGTAGTAGTAGTAGTAGTAGTAGTAGTAGTAGTAGTAGTAGTAGTAGTGGTAGTAGTAGTAGTAGTACTAATAGTAGTAGTAAGTCGTAGTAGTAGTAGTAGGCTAACCGGGGATGTGGCCGGGGCGGCGTGGGGGGGGGTGGGCGCGCGCGGGGGGGCGCGCGGGGGCGCGGGTGTGCGCGCGGGGGCGCGGGTGGGCGCGCGGGGCGCGCGGCGCGCGCGGGGCTCGCGAGGCGCGCGGAGCGCGCGGGGCGTGCAGGGCCTCCTGGGAAACCGTCTTAGGCTTCCTGAGAGGCCTCTTGGGTATCCTGGGAGGCTCCTTGGGCCTCCTGAGAGGCATCTTGGGCATCTCGAGAGGCCTCTTGGGCCTCCTGAAAGACCTCTTGGGCCTCCTGGGAGGCCTCTTGGGCATCCTGGGAGGCCTCTTGGGCCTCCTGTGAGGCCTATTGGGCCTCCTGGGAGGCCTCTTTCTTCCTAAGGCCTGTTTGGGCCTTCTGGGAAGCCCCTTGGGCCTCCTGAAAAGCCTCTTGGGCCTCCTGAGAGGCCTCTGGGGCCTCATCAGAGGCCTTTTTTTCTCGGGCCTCCTGAGAGGCCTCTTGGAGCTCCTGGGGGGTCTCCTGGGAGGCCTTTTCGGCCTTCTGGAAGGCCTCTTGGGCCTCCTGAGAGGCCTACTGGGCCTCCTGAGACGCCTCTTGGGCCTCCAGAGAGGCCTTTTGGGCTTCCTGAGAAGCTTCTTGGGCCTCCTGGGGGGCCTCTTGGGCCTCCTGGGAGGCCTCTTTGGCCTTCTGGGAAGCCTCTTGGGCCTCCTGATAGGCCTCTTGGACCTCCAGAGAAGCCTCTTGGGCCTCCTGAGCGGCCTCTGGGGTCTCCTGAGAGGCCTCTGGGGCCTCCTCAGGGGCCTCTTGGGCCTCCTGTGGGGTTTTCTTGAGCCTCCCGGCAGGCTCCTTGGGCATCCTGAGAGGCCTCTTTGGACTCCTGAGAGGCCTCTTGGGCCTCCTGAGAGGCCTCTGGGGCCTCCTGGGAGGCGTCTTGGGCCGCCTGACAGGCCTCTAGGGCCTCCTGGGAAGCCTCCTGGGAGGCCTGACGACGAGGGCGTGATGATTGTGATAGAGGCGGTCGAACGGGGCGAGGGCGTGATGTTGATAATGATGATGCTGATGCTGATACTGCTGATGATGATGATGATGGTGCTGTTGATGCTTCTGATGATGATGGTGAGTATGATGATGATGATCATGGTGGTGATGATGATGACGATGATGATGACGACGACGATGACGACGATGATGGTGGTGGTCATGATGATCATGATGATGATTATGCTGGTGGTGATGCTGGTGCTGATGGTGGTGCTGATGATGATGATGACTGGGATGCCGATGCTGCTGCTGGTGATGATGGTGAACATACACCATACATCATCATGCGTCATACAACATTGTACAGACACCATACATGATCAACCATCATACATCATCAAGCACCATACGCCGTCAAACATCATACATCATGAAACATCATACATCATCAAACTTCATACATCATACAACAACACACGCCACCAAACATCATACATCATACATCATAATACACAGCCAAACACCATACATCATAATACATAATCATACATTATCGTACACCATACATCATACATCATAATACACCATCAAACACAATACACCATAATACACCACCAAACACCAGACATCATACTAGACCCTCAAACACCGTACATCATACATCATCATACACCATCAAACTTCATGCATCGTAATGCATTGCACATCACCAAGCATCATACAACACACATCAACCATCACACATCATCAAACATCATACATCATACATCAAGCATCATACATCATCAAACATTAAGCATCATCAAACACCAAACACCAAACATCATACATCATCAATCATCAAACATCATACATCGTCAAACATCGAACATCGAACATCACACATCACCAAACACCATACATCATCAAGCATCGAACACGAAAGCTCAAACATCATACATCATCAAACATAAAGCATCAAACATCGCACATCAAACACCGTACATCATTAAACATGAAGCACCAAACATCATCACACATCAACAAACATCAAACATCGGACATCACACATCATCAAACATACATCATACATCATCAAGCATCAATCATCATACATCAAACGCCAAACATCATTAAACATCATACATCAAACACCAAACATCAATCAACATCATTCAACATCAAACATCAAACACCAAGCATCAAACATCATTCAACATCAAACATCACACATCAAACATCATACACCTTTAACCACCATACATCCTACATAAGCAAACACCATACATCAATCATCATACATCATCATACAGCATCATACATCATCATGCATCATCATACATCTTCATACATCACCATACATCATCATACATCATCATACACCATCATGCATCATCGTAGAACTTCATACATCATCATACACAATCGTACAACATCATGCATCGTCGTACACCATCATACAGCATCATACATCATCATACACTATCATACATCATTAAACATCATTATACATCATACATGGAACACCTACACCCACACCCACACCCACACCCACAATCTCCTTGTTTTGTTAGAGCCGTTGGAAACGCGAAACCTCCATCACCACCCTTAAGTCGTTTCACGGACGAACTGCCCGGCCACCATCCCCCGGTCAGCCCTAGTAGTAGTAGTAGTAGTAGTAGTAGTAGTAGCAGCAGCAGCAGCAGCAGTAGCAGTAGTAGTAGCAGCAGCAGCAGCAGCAGGAGCAGTAGTAGTAGTAGTAGTAGTAGTAGTAGTAGTAGTAGTAGTAGTAGTAGTAGTAGTAGTAGTAGTAGTAGTAGTAGTAGTAGTAGTAGTAGTATTAGTAGTAGTAGTAGTAGTAGTAGTAGTAGTAGTAGGTGGTGGTGGTGGTGGTGGTGGTGGTGTGGTGGTATAGTAGTGTAGTAGTAGTAGTAGTATGTGTGGTGGTGGTGGTGGTGGTGGTGGTGGTGGTGGTAGTAGTAGTAGTAGTAGTAGTAGTAGTAGTAGTAGTAGTCGTGGTGGTGGTGGTGGTGGTTGTGGTGGTGTTGGTGGTGGTGGTGGTGGTGGTGGTTGTCGTAGTAGTAGGAGTAATCACAGTAATAATTTCACGAACAGTATAGAAGATGACCAAATAAGAAGGATGATGAGGAGGGCGAGGACGCGGACGAGGAGGAGGAGGAGGAGGAAACATGAGGAAGCAGGAGGAGGAGGAAAAAGGAGGAGGAGGAGGAGGAGAGGCAGGAACACCCCCCCCGCACCGGCGCCGCCCAGTCGAGCAGCGATGCCGTCGTGTTCGATGCGCCCGCCCCCCCCCGCGTGCTGCCCGCGGGAGGGGGAGATGCGCCGCGCGCAGAGGGGGCGTACAGCAGGTTCATGCGGTGATGGCGCGCCGGCGACGCCGGCGAAGGCGTCCAAGGTCGAATCCTGAGGGATAGAGCGACGCGGAAGCACCGGGGGACATGGTAACGCTATTGGGCCTGACAGCATTCACCCTGGAACGATCGGGGCCGCGATCGGCTCCAAGACTGCACGATCGACGCGGGGTCGAAAACCTCTGCGCCGACGCCGCGCGAGCCTACCGCACCGACCGACCGACTAGTCGCTCCGTTTTCTCCGCGGCGCTGGGCCCTCCTCGGCCACTCGGGCTAGTGCTTGCGGGAGGGGCAAACGAGCCACGCGCAGAGGGGGCGTATGCTCAAGGCGGCATGTCCCTCTACAGGATTCAAGAGTAGTCGAAAAAATGCTCTGGGGACGATTTCCGTTTTTTTGACTATGTTGTATTTTTATTTGATCAATCTTGTTTTTCTTCCAGAATCCCTCTGTAAGAGGACATGCCCGACCTAAGCGTATACAGGGACCGACCAGCCGACTCGTCGCCCTGCTGGGGGCGCCGCGGGCGGCGGCCACCCCTCCCTCCCCAGGCGTCGAGGGAGTTCCCGAGGGAGGCCTGGCCGTGAGGCAGGGCGCAGGGCGGGGCACGGCAACTCGCGGAGGGCGTAGGCAGGGCTCATTTCGATTCCTCCAGTTCGATTCGATTCGATCTCGATGGCCTCCGACTCCGATTCGATTCGACCTCGGATTCCCATTTGGATCCCGATTTCTCATCAGAGGCCTACCAACCTGCCGACTTCCGCCGATTCTGCTTCTCCCGACTCGGCTACCGATTTCTGCCGATGCGCTTCATTTCGAGCGCCGATCCGATTTGTCGATTCGATTCTGGGCTCTCCTGCGTAGGGGGGAGGGGGGAGAGCTTCTTAGGACCACCCCTGCTTCTTCGAAGGCTCGCCATGGGGGAGACGGGTTCTGAGGTTTTCCACCGCTTTCGGGCTCTCGGGGCCCTCCACCCACGGGCCCCCGGGACTGTCAGGACTCAGGGTGAAGATCTGTTGTTCCTGGGAGGTCTTGGGGTCCAGGACCCGTTTTCCTCAGGACCCGCTCCTCCCATGCTAAGAGGGCGCGGGCCTTATTTATCGATGTAGGGCCGGTACCGTCTAAGAAGCAGCCTCCTTCGAAAAAGCCTTCCCCCCTCCCGCTAACCCCTTGCGCGCGCCGCCAAGAAGAGGGCGGCAGCGATGCTGAGGGCCCAGATCCTGGTCACGCTGAAGCCATATTCGGAGCTTGGAGCAAGCTGGGGGTCCGAGTCGGGGGCGTCCAGTAGGGGGGGTGACGACTAGGGCGGGGGGACGCGTATCATGGCAGGGGCCATGACGTTTGCCTAGATTTGAAGGCCCTTCTTCGTATGACAATGCGCTTTTTAGCCCCTCCTGATCCGCGTACAGTCGGGGCCCTGAAGAAAGAACTCTTTTCGTTGGGTAGGGGCTCCGTGTTCCTTAATTGTTTCACAGTTTGCCCTACGTTTTCCTTATGTTTTCGAAGGGAAATCGAAGTTCAACTTCTGGAGAAAAGGGGCCTCGTTCCTTATTTAGGGTTCCTTAGGTCAACGCCCCGACTGTACATGCCTCGGGCCAGAATTTGCGACCTTCCTCTTGGACGCCCCCCTCTTAGACGCCCCCCGACTGGGGTGGCCCAGAATCGGCTCCGACCAGCAGGAAGGGGGGAGAGCTTCGAGGCTCTGGGTTCGAGACGTTTTTCCCCAAACTCTCCTGCGTATTGGGTCCTCGTTTTGGATCCGCAGCTCCGCCCTCCACACGTCCCTCCTCCTCCTCCTCCTCCTTCTCCTGCTCCTCCTCCTTTCCTCCTCCTCTCCTCCCCCTCATCTTCGTCCTCCTCCATCCACCCCTTCCCACTTCCCATCATCATCATCATCAGCAGCAGCAGCATCATCATCACCGTCGTCGTCATCATCATCGTCATCATTGTCATCAGCATCAGCATCATCAGCATCATTGTCATCATTCTCATCATCATCATCATCATCGTCATCATCATCATTATCATCATCTCCATCATCACCTCAATCATCGTCGCCATCACCAGCGCACCATCATCACCGTCACCACCATCATTATCATCATCGTCTCCTCACCCTTGGCATCATCATCGCTATAGTCATCATCGTCATCATCGTCGTCTTTAGACTCATCCATCTTCATACTCTTTCTCATCATCATCATCATCACCAATCTTCATCTTCATCTTCTTCATCTTCATCTTCATCTTCATCTTCATCTTCATCTTCATCTTCATCTTCATCTTCATCTTCATCTTCATCTTCATCTTCATCTTCATCTTCATCTTCATCTTCATCTTCATCTTCATCTTCATCTTCATCTTCTTCATCTTCATCTTCATCTTCATCTTCATCTTCATCTTCATCTTCATCTTCATCTTCATCTTCATCTTCATCTTCATCTTCATCAGCATCATCATCAACATCATCATCATCATCATAATCATCGTCATCATCATCATTCTCATTACTATTTCGGCGCAACCCTCACACGTTTCGTGGCCCCATAGGGAGCTCCACCGAAGGCTCCAGTGGCAGGGTCCGCATACGTACTCGGGTCCACTTCGGCACACCCCTTACGTTTCGTGGCACCCCAGGGAGCTCCACCGAAGGCCCCAGTGGCACAGTCAGCATGGTTACCCGCGCCATTCCGGCACACCCATGACACGCTTCGGGGCGCCCCAGGGAGCTCCGCCGAAGGCCCCAGTGGCACAGTCCGAATAGTTACCCGCGCCAGTTTGGCACACACTCACACGCTTCGTGGCGCCCCAGGGAGCTCCGCCGAAGGCCCCAGTGGCACAGTCCGAGAAGTTCCCGCGCCAGTTTGGCACACACATTCACACGTTTTGTGGCCCCATAGGGAGCTCCACCAGAGGCCTCAGCGACAAAGGCCGTACGTATGGTTAGCCGCTCCAGTTTGGCACACCCTTCACTCGCTTCGTGGCCCCATAGGGAGCTCCACCGACGGCCCCAACAGTCCGCATGGTCACCCTCGCCATTTCTCGGCCCGCCCCTCACACGTTTCGTGGCCCCAGGCTCCACAGAACGCCCCAGTGGGAGGGTCCGCGTGGCGTCCTCGGGCCATGCCGGCACACCACTGACGCGTTTCGTGGCCGTCCTCGTGTCCAATATGAGTCGTGAGAGTGCGTGCGTGAGTGGGTGAGGGGGGGCGTAGTCTGACGTTGTTTGGCGACGCGTTTCAGGGTTGCTGCAGGTCCTTCAAGGTGTTTTCGTGTAGCCCGGAGAAGCAATTCAGAACCCCCCGCCCCTCTCCGGCGAAAGTATCAACGCTCCAGCACCCTAGAAGCGTTACCCTGGCACCTCGCAACCTGCTTTGAACGCAGACGAGTCTGCCCGCTGAAACAAGGAAGCCGCCTGAAACATTCTCGCAATTTGGCCTCCGTGTGGTTCTGAGACAAGCGGCAGTAGCACGAGTCAGGAGGGGAATAGGAATATCTAGGGATCCTACATATTCCAATTGGGATACCGCCCGAGCCAAGGCGCGGGATTTTTCCCCAATCAGAGCTTGCCTCTGTAGGAGTCCAAGCGGATTAAAGGGTTAGGTGAGAGGTGCGGTCGATTTCCCGGGCCCGGGTGCCCGGGTGCCCGGGTGCCCCGCGGTGCCCGGGTGCCTGGGTGGCCGGTGAGGTTCGTCGCCGATTTCGGTGGCCGGGCCCAGGTGCCCGGGTGCCCAGGGGTGCCCGGGGGTGCCGAATAGCCCAATAGCACAATAGCCCAGTAGCCCTATAGCCCTATAGCCCTATAGCCCTACAGCCGTATAGCCCTCTAGCCCTCCAGCCCTCTAGCCTAATATCCCTATAGCCCTAATAGCCTTACATCCCTATAGCCCTATAGCCCTATAGCCCTATAGCCCGATAGCCCTATAGCCCTATAGCCCGATTGCCCGATAGCCCTATAGCCCGATAGCCCTATAGCCCTATTGCCCTATAGCCCGCCCTGTAGCCCGATTACAAAGGGAACAATTGGATATCAAATAATATGATTGGGTTTTTTCTCCGGTATCATTTCATTTTCCTTTATTTTGCACGGTGCTAAAGATATCGTTCCCCGAAAACCGCCCCCAGGAATTATTCTATTACGGTGCGGTGCTAACGATAGCCCCGGGGGGCTTATCGCGGTTATTAAGTGGTCCCGTTTATAGTCGCCCCGTGTTTAAATTGGGGTTGGGTTCTTCGTCGGGCTTTTTCTGTGTTTGTATGCATGCGTATATATATATAATAAAAATAAAGATCGGGCTCTTAGGACCGTTTCGGGCCCCGTGACCGTCAAAAACGGATCCCGGGTTAAAAAGTGCACTGGGAGGGCCCTGGGAGGGGTCTGGGGATTGAATCTTGGTGGCTTTGGCTTGATACCCCCTCCTGAACGATTCTCTCGGGGCCCCATCCAACTCAGACCCCCCGGCCGCCTCCAAGCTGGAGCTAGAGTTTGCTTGGGTTTGCTGGACAAGCAGTGGCCACGTGAGTGGAGGAGGAGGAGGAGGAGGGGGAGGAGGAGGAGGAGGAGGAGGAGGAGGAGGGAGGGGAGGGAGGGGGAGGGGAGGGGGAAGGGGGAGGGGGAGGGGGAGGTGCCCGACAGCCCACCCCGCTCAGGACCGCATGATTTCGCCGTCGTGGGCCTATCGCCGATCCATCGGCGATGCATCGCCGATTCCAGGTTGAGGTTTCCCCCCTGAGCGGGTGCCACCTCATTTTTGCCCTTCATTGACGGCTCAAAGTGGTGCTCCCTCATGTGGTGTTCTAGTTCTAAGCGCTGGAGCTGATATTTCGTCTGATGCGTGACTCAGAGTACATACAACCTGCAGTTTGTTGGATGCGCCTTTGCATCTGTTGGGACATACCGCTGGACCAGTGATTACCATACTTGGTCTGGCTGACTTCAGCCAAGGACAAAACAGATTTATCATGACTGTTTCTGTTGCACGCTTCAAGGGAAGGGCCATGAACCATGCAGGCGAGGACATCAGGCATGCGATCGAGGGGCACAAGTGGTAAGGACGTGGGTGGGTCTTTGCCCGAGCCCATGCGTTTTTTGCCATCGCTGGGACAAGCATCTCGCGCTGATGTATTGTGCGGCGCGCAGGGACAGTTCAGTCACGACAAGATGGACGGCAAGGGGACTTACAATTTCGCCGATGGCCGCTCGTACAACGGAGGGGTGCAGGAGGTTGGGCCGTTGCAAGAGAAACGTGTCAACTCGCTGGAAGAGAATCTTGGGAGGGAAGGAGTTGACCAAACATTGATCTCCCGCGATCGTGCGATTGTGTGGTCACGGCGATCCTCCCGCTTGGATAATTCATACCGCCGCCAGCTGCAAGAGGATGCATAGGAGGAGGCGGAGGCGGAGGAGGAGGAGGAGTAGGAAACGGAGGAGGAAGAGGAGGAAGAGGAGGAAGAGGCAGGCAGCGATGCGCGGAAGGAGCAGGGATTGAGGGAGAGCAGGGAGGAAATGAGGGTGAGAGGGAGAGAGGCGAGCAGGGATTGAGAATAAAAGAGGAGGGGATGAGGCAGGATTGCGGAAATGGGAAATTCGAGATATAGGTAGCCAGACTGTCCCATGTAGTTGTACGCGTTGTGTCTAAGGTTTTGGTATGGGTGTGTATGTACATACAAATTTTAGCCAGCGTTGATTCCAAACAGTGTGTTTCTAGCAATCCATGTTGTGCAATCACTGTGGAACAATCTAGGTGGTGCAATGAATTGTGAAAACCATGGGGTGTCAACTCCGCTGCTCGCGCAATCATCCCACCCACCCGCCTGCAAGTTGGTTCGCAAAACCCATGCGGTGGCGATTGCGATGAGTGCTTGGTGTTGGCTTGTGCATCTCTGCGGCCGCGCTAGCCCGCGCATTCTGGCGCAGCGGCCAGCTAAGTTGGCGCGACCGACGCGGCTTCGTCGGCGCTGGCAGCTGGGCACTTCCCAGCGGGCATTTCAGTGCGAGTCCGTGACTCGACTGGGCGCGGTATCACGGCGACGTCGGCAACGGTAGACACGACGATGATCGTAGCGGTGATGGTGACGATGGTGACGATGACGACGGCAAGGCCAATGACGGTGGCGATGGTGTGTCCACGCCGATGCCGGCAACGGTGCCCCCGCGCGTTTGGCCGACTTTGGTGAACGTGTTGAAGAGCCCATGATTGCTTCAAGAAGGCGCAAGCGCGTGCCGTTTTTGGTGTATATATGTGAAACACAGAGCAGCTGTCGTTGCAACACCATGTGTTTTTGTCCAGCATGTTTTCGAGGTACTCTGTTTTGACAGCCCTACGACGCCCAGGGTTTTTGGATGCTTTCGGCATGCGCGCGCGACGGCGCGCGCGTGTTCACTTCGTTGTTTTATTTGTGCAATGGATCTTGCGACAGCACGCGCGCAAGGACGCTCGAATGATTATTGCATGCGCGCGCGGGGTACGTTTGGTAGCATTTTATGGACATGTGGAAAACGGATGGTCCTCTTGAGAATCACAAGAGGGCAAACGCATTTGTTTGCACAAGCTGTGTTGCGAAGTCATTTGTTCTTGAACACTTTTTTGTCATATGGGGTGGTGGTAGGGCCACCCGCAAGGGCACGATGCTCGCGGCCATCGGCATCAGCTTCTGAGATCAACCGCAGCGGCCTCCGCCGTTGCGCCTGCCTTAGGCTCCTGCTGCCATGGCCCGGCCGGCAGGGAAGCGCCGGCGGGGCCTTACATTCCACCCCTTTCTCCTCCGCTCGCTTTCCCCTCTCTGTGCGTCTGCGTCTACTTCGCCCCTGTTCGGCCCTGTGCATGCCCTGGGGGCCTGGCTCGGAGTGCCATGGGCGGCCACTGCTCTGCGCCTCCCCTTTGTTGCCTCCCTCCTCTGTCTGTATTTCCTTGCGTCGTTTTTTTGGGGCCGCCCAGCCCCTGCTCGGCAGGGTTCGGGTTGGCATCGCGGCGCACGCCCTGCCAGAACCAGTTTTACTGTTCAATGCTTTCGCTGCCCCAGGCCTTCTAGATTATTCGTGTGGGACCCAGTGCGAACACCGACTACAGGTCGGTTTGCGCACGCGCGAGTTCTTCCCCTTCTCCCCTCCCCGCCTCCTCCGCCTTCTCCGCCGTCTGCCTCCTCCTCCCCCTCTTTGTTTTTGCAGGTGGGTCCGAGGCTTTGCTTAGGATCCTGTGTCCGTCCCCTAGCGGGGTCGGGACTGCCCGCCCCCTCTTTCTTCTCCCTCTTTGCTTCCTCCTCTCCCCGTGCTTTTTCTTCTCTTGTCCTCCTCTTTCTCTGTCTGCTTGTTGCTTGTTGTGTGTGATTTATTGGTTTGGCCGTTTGGGCCATTCGGTAGGGTTGGGCGCGCAACTCCCTTCCAAGCTCGGGCGTGATACGGCTTTGTGCGAATTCGTATCTCCTCTCTCCCCCTCTCGTCTCCTCTTCCTCCTGTGGGGCGGGTGCTCGTACTCCGTAGCGTTTGTCAGTTTGATGTCTCGACGTGTGGGCGCAGAAATTTGCAGTCCAATTCGTTCTCGCTGGCGCGGTGCCTTCTGGCTTCCGGGTTTGTGCCCCCGGAGCTGCGCCGACCCGGGCCAGGTAGGTAGTTCGTTGGTCATCGGCTGCGCGCGGGAAAAAATGTTTTCGGGGCGCCCGATTCTGAAATCAGCAGGGCGCCCGAAATTTCTGACAGCCTGGCATGCGCGCGACGACGCGAGCGTCTGCACTTCGTCCCGTTTTTTTTTCTTGTTGATATTTTGTTTGTTTTATCGCTGCGGGATTTCCGACAACGATAAACGAGTGTGCGCGCCGTTTTTTTGCAGGGGGTGCGGGGGTGAAGAGGGGTGGGTGGATGGGGTGGGGTGGGGTGGGGGTGGGGGGTAAAAGGGGTTGCCTGAGATCGCATGAGTTCAGCATTCGGGGATAACCATAAGCACATAACAATGCAAAACAGCGCGCCGTTAAATCGAATGGGGGGGATATCTTCGTGCCGTTTTAGCAGAGGGTATACGTTGTGATGTCTATGTTGTGCATCTGTGTAATATATGGGGCGCACTATTAATGGGGCAATCGATGTGGTGCAACCCGTGTGGTGCTATCTCTGTTGTGCATTTTTGTTTGTGCCATCTACGCTGTGCAATATATGTTGACACACATAAATACATAGATGTATGTATGTATGTATGTATATGTATATGTATATGTATATGTATATGTATATGTTTATGTTTATGTATATGTATATGTATATGTATATGTATATGTATATGTATATATGTATATGTATGTGTATGTGTATATGTATATGCATATGTATATGTATATGTATATGTATATGTATATGTATGTATGTATGTATACATATATATATATATATATTGAAATCCATTTGGTGTTCCATTTCTGCGGCGCAATCGACGCGGCGCACTCTATCAATATGGGTTGTGCACTCTATGTTGCGCAGCATAGGCGGGGCACTCTATGTGGGGCAGCTCCGTGTTCGGAAAATCTATGGCGCGCAATCTGTATGGGTGCCCGCTACGTTGCGCCATCTCTATTTGCATGTGTATATGCTTGTGTGTATACATATATGTATAAATATATAGTACACATGCAGGTATTCTGTGGAGTCTACGTTGCGTAGTTTATGTTGTGTCAACGATGCGATACAACATGTGTGGCGTGTTCTTTGTGGTGCACGCATATCTGGCGCAATTCATTTTGAACTTGGAGTAGTCAGCTCCATCGATCGCGAAATCACCCAGCCCGCCCGCAATTAGGTTTGCAAAATCCATGCGGCGAAGATCGCCATGATTCCATAGCGCTGGCTGGCGCGTCGCCGCGGTTGCGCCGGCGCGCGCAGTCTCGCGCGAAATTCGCGCGACGTGTGATTGGCCAGACTGGCGCGACCGACGCGGTGGCCGTGGCGATGACCGTCGGGGACCAGCTCGACATGCAGGCCGCGCCAACGCGCGGGCATTTCAGTGCGAGTCGGTGGCCCAGGCAGGCGCGGCATCACGGCCACGTGCGCTGATGGTCGTAGCGGTGCTGGTGACGAGGAGGGCGACTGCGACAGCAAGGCCAATGACTGCGCCGATGGCTATCACGCCGGGGGCGATTCTTGTGTCCGCGTGTCGGCGATGAAGGCTATGCGGGGATTTCGGCATGCGCGCGCGGCCGACGGGTGCGAGTGGCCCGCGCGGTATGGTTTGACGGGGGTCGCCCCCCCCCCCCCCCCCTCCTCCGCGCTAAGCGCGCAAGGTCGTCCGGGTGATTTCGAGATGCTGGCGCGAGAGGCCCGCTTGAGTGCATTTGATGAACATAATCACGTTGCGCAGACATTGGCTCTGGTTGATTTTATAGGTGCCCAGGGGCCTTGGTCTTGCAAGTATTGCGAAAACTAGTGTGTCGGAAGGAAGTTGGCGCGCTCACGCGACGACGCGCTCGCGTGGACTTCGTGTATTTTGGCAGTGCAAAGGGTTCTTGGATATGGGAGATTTGGGATGCGCGAGCGCGCGCGAAATGTTATTCGTCGGGGGGCGGGGGCGGGGGGGCGAGACTGGCTTGGCTGAGATAGTATGCTTCCATATGGATGGGCGACGGGGCATAATTGCACGTGAGTTGCGCATCTTCAGGAGGGCGGTGGAATCCCGGGTGGGAGTGGGGGGTGGTGGGGGTAGGACCTTTATGTGTGCGATTAATTTTTGTTTGCAGTGAGTTGTCGACTCCGCGCGATCGCCCTTCCCGCCCGCCCTCAACTTGGCTTGCAGAGCCCATGCGGCGGCGATTGCGATGATTGCTTGGCGTTGGCTGGTGCGTCTCTGCGGCCGTGCTGGCCCGCGAGTGCTCCCACGCGCAGCGGCCAGCTAGTATGGGCTTCCGACGCGGCCGCGGTGGCGCTGGCCGCTTGGCGTGTCCCAGCGGCAGCGGGCACTTCAGCGCGAATCGGTGACTCTGGCGGGCGCGGTATCGTGGCAGCGTCGACGACGGTAGACGCGATGATGTGAATCCTGGTGCTGGTGGCGATGCTGGGAGCGACGAGGGTAAATGCAGTGATGGTGCCGATGGTGATCGCGCCGGCGACGAGGACGGCGTCTTTGCGTCTGCGATGGGGGTTTTGGAGGGATTTCGCCATGCGCGCGCGGCCGACGCCGCGCGAGAGTGGCCCGCGCGGTTGCGCGCGACACCCCCCCCAGCCGCGCGCGCG